GGGGGGGGGGGGCGGAGGGGTGATAATACTGCTAGGTTTTACTTTCAATAGACTCTGGAACAAGCTTCAGCAATGTGGTCTGACTGTAACTTATAACAAGCTTTGTCACTTCAGTCTATACTTATCTTTGTCAGTTTTTTACCGATCAGGCCAGGGAGTTGGAGCAAAACAAATTTAAATGGTCAGTTTCTATATATGACTTTCTAAAAGTCCATTCCAATAATATTTCCATTCTATTAGTTCTGCCTCTCGCATTGCTTGAGGGCAAAGATTACTTGACAGTCGACTTGTAACAAGTCTTTTTTTATACATGTTGTTTCAGACTCCTAGAGTACTAGTTACTGTAGTTTTTTAACATGTACAGGTATATCCTGTGGTATAAATCAATGCACTTGACTGACAGTAATCAATGATAATTATTTAAAAGAAATTGTATTCATTCATGACATTTTTATTGAAATTTCTAATAAATAAAATAATACATTTCAATTTTACAATGACTGACATGTTATTGATTCAAATTAATTACTTTTAATAATGGTAGGGACCAGAAGCATATCACCTAGTCAAGGTGATAAACTTCTGTAGGGACTTGAAATAAACCACAATAGTGACAGCAACAGGGCCATCCCAAAATAAAAGGATTAATGAGCACAACAAAGGCTCTACACACTACCTATCGATTCTCTGTAAAACAGCAAAACATGGAATGACCACATTCTGCAATTTTGTGGTAATGTGATGGAAAATTATGTACTGTAGTATAATTGAATTATATGTATTCCTTGCAGTACCAGTTTTGAGGATTTAAACAAATATCAGTATTAAGGAATACAGGTGATTGTTTTCTTCATTCCCATGACCTGCATGGTGTATTACATATGTCTGGGTTATTGACCAAGTGTCCGTCTCGGTCCATAAACATGCAAAAAAAGAACTTGGCCAATATCCAGCCATCTTGATCAAACAAGCTTGGTCAATAAAGGATTTATTATATGGCTTTCGGGGATATTTTTCCAGCGGGACATGGCGGGTAGTCCCAAGTGGACAAGATAGCTCCATCTTGTCCACTTGGGTAGCCAATCACACTACAGGATTTGATTCATCTTGCTCACTCACGGAGCTAGCCATATAATAACGTTAGATCCTGATCAGTCATGAGTCCTTTTACCACTTATACATAAGCATCTGCTATGCTATGCTACTCATAGTGGCCTCAATTTATTTCTGGGTCAGATTAGGACTTGTTTGGGTAAATAGCACATTTACTTTCATAAATAAAATTGAGCGCTATAAGTGGACAATCTGAGAATTTCCACATTACAACCCACTCAATGCAACTGTATAAATAGTAAAATATTGATAATTTTATTACCAGTCTTGAAAAATGAAGAAGGTAGCGGTCAGGTCACATGTAAGTGAGGATTTTCTGATTAATTTTTGATGTAGAAAAACAACATTGCTTTGGTTTCTATTTGGCTGGATTGTGCTCTGTTTTCAAGAGAAACTAGGCTAAAGTAGGAAGGTAATACACAACAAACTCTACACAGTAGAAAAAAGAGCCAAATTCAACAACTTCATGCTTAAAGTTAGCCTGATCCAGTTAGGACCATTCTTTTGGCTTTTTCCAATCGAAGGTAATATCTATTATTATATTTTATTATAAATCTACTAGATTTCTATCATGATTGCCATTCTCTTATTGGCTACACTACTCACTATCTATTCTGTTGTCGATGGTGAGTAGCCCAGCAGTGTGGAGTTGTTCATAAAGGGTACTTACCATTTACATGGGAAAACCGGAAATTCCAGTTGGAAAATCAAATGGTTCGCGCCATTCTGTTTGGGAAGCTTCTGAAAATATGGGCTGTGATTTGAGTTGATGCTATTTTTCTGCTCTTTTAAGTCTCTCTAGCTGATATGGATATACTTTATAGCGATTCCTTCTCTCGCAATGTGGCATTCAACAGTTTAATGTTTTTGCCTGAAATTTCCAACCGGATGGTTTCTGTAAATGGTAAGCACCCAAAATCTGATGGTAGCCGCTTTGTGTTTTTGAAGGGTCTGTGAAGAGGATTGTTCTCAAAATTTTGAACAACTAGTAGATTTATACTGTATCAATTAGATTATTCAATCTCGATTTCTATGCACGACAGATGACTCAGGCTGCACCCTCCTCAACTAACAGATAGAAATCTAGAGCTCATAATCTAATAATATTGTTTAATATAAATTACTAGCTTAAATACATTTTTATATATTTAAATTAAGAGTTAATCTGAATCTTTTTGAGGTTGTGATTTGGCAGTTCTAGGGCCGACACCTGAAGTGGCCACATGCCACCAATGATGCCTGCCTGTATTGCTACTCCTGTGGCTACGGCAAGCTCTGGGTCTATAGAAACATTGGGTTTCTTCCCATTGAAGTACTTTGCAATGAGCTCACGTACCCTTGGTATCCTGGTGGATCCTCCGACAAGCACTACTTCGTCAACTTCCACCTTAGGAAGGTCAACTTCTTTTAAAACCCTTTCAACAGGTTCTAGAACTTTTTGAAACAAGTCTTCATTCAACTTTTCAAAAGTTAATCGTGAGACCTTTTCTTCAAATATAGCAAGTTTCTTCCCTTGATTCAAGGAGGACAGAGGCAACCTCACCACTACAGCTTCCTCTGACGTCAAATTTATTTTTGTTGATTCAACCTCCTGCCGGAGACGCTGTATGTCTTCAGCATTTGTCAATTCTTCACCAAACCTGTTGTTTATAACTGCCAGCAGATAAGACATGAGTCTTATATTAAAGTCTTGCCCTCCCAACCTGTTATTCCCTGCCATGGCCATAGTTACGAACATCCCACCTTGAATGTTCAACAAGGATACATCTAAAGTACCGCCACCCAGGTCGACCACCATAACATTCGAGACTCCTTCTTTCTTGTGAAGACCGTAAGCCATTGCTGCCGCTGTGGGCTCGTTTATGAGACGGACAACTTTGATCCCAGCGAGAGCAGCAGCCTTTATCGTCGCATTTCTCTGCGCCATGTCGAACTCTGCTGGAACCGACATAACGGCCTGATTGACTGATCTACTGATGTTTTTTTCAGCGGTTCGTTTTAATTCCTTTAATATAGAAGCACCAATTTCTTCTGGTGAAACTAACGTCTGGTTGCCATGAGTTTCAACGACGAACATCGGATTGTTCTTTTCATCGGAAGTAATTTTAAACTGGTACAGGGAAGACAACTTTTGTAAGTCTTCTTTCGAAAACTTCTTTCCAATAAAGCGCTTTGCGTCGTAGATAGTCGATTCTGGATTCAGCTCAGCTTGATCCAAGGCTCTTCTACCCACAAGAACACCATTTTTCGTGAAAGCAACAACGCTAGGGATAACTTTACTGCCATTCTCGTTAGCCAAGATGTCAACATGTCCTGTTATTGCTTGGTAGACTCCTACACAAGAAAATGTCGTTCCCAAGTCTATGCCGATTACTTTAGGTTTGGGAGGAGGGAGACGACTTTGAGCAATGTATCCAGCGACCACAAGAGCGAAAATTCCACCTAGAAAAAGCCCTAAAGAAGAACTCATCTTTGATCTTCTTCGCCCGAATTACCGGAAGACGAAGAAGCTACGGTTTCGACACGTACATGCGTACTGTGTACTGCGCAACCTAAACATACTTATCGCCAGGGAGGGGTAGGTGGGTTAGAGCAGGTTGTGAGAGGAGTAAATAATTGCTGGGGCGGGCATCTGGCATAAAATAAGAAATTTCTGAAAAATTAAAAAAACAAACAAACAACCCACTATCAATAATTTTAATGGTATGGTCATGAGCAACTCATTACAAAAATATCCCTGCATCATGATAAATTTTTCAACTTATTATAATATTTTCTTGTTCGTTAAAAGCACTTCATTCTCAGGTTTGGAGCATTTGTTAAAAATATAGTTCCTGATCAGAGTTCATATTAAAAGTGACTGCCCTCTGTGCAAATTTTTCTAATGTACCACACAAAAAATATCTATTTACCTATCTATAGCTAGGATAAACCATTGAGCTACAAAGCTCTGAACTTTTTCACCAATAATTAATAGTACTAGAGTAGTTTTCAATGGAGTGTTGTGAAACCAAAACCAAAACCAGTGAAAGTAATTGCCTGATTACTTTCAACACTCAATTGAAAAACTACTCTAATATTGAGTTTCCTAATCCATACCTTATGTTGATATCACTTTTCTGTATTAAAATAATTTTCTCATTTCCTCCGTACACAGAATTGAAATTCTCAGGGTCATGTCTGGTTATTTTGCTTTTACATTAATTATATCACAACCCCAGGGGGTAGGGGTGGGGTATTCTCTTATATGGGCTATAGGTCAGTGCAGGCTCATAGGATGTGGTTTTTGAGCGGTTTTGGTCCAAAAAAGGATGTAGATTTCGACCAATTTGGTCTGAAATAGGGTATGTTTTTCACTCTGGCTTGGTATTAGGTGTTTTGTTTAAAAGAAACTATTTTTTTTCACAGCAACATTGGGAAATTTGTAGCCCTTCTCAAGTGTTCATGCAAATGAAAGCCAATTGGGTATCAACTTTCATTCAGGTCTAAAATTAAACACACATTTGGTCTAAAACATACATTTGGTCTGAAATAGCACAGAGGCTTCAAGGTACGGGTCACACACCCCCACCAAAAACTTTGGGGAGAACCCCCTCCCTGCCCCCAGATCACAATTAAACTAATAATCATTTGGGTGAGCATGTGCTGTGCTATGTAAATCACTGTTCTTTTTAACAATACCAATTTCTTCATAAGTGCAATAAACCTTGAGTCATCCTCCAAGGGTTGTCTGATTAGATTTCACCTATTATTAATGCATCAACAATCTCTCCAGCACCAATTCTGCTTAGATTATCACTCCTGGGTTGCAACACAAGCAGAGCATTAGCAGTTCTCATGCTCAGCAGCCTACTGCTACATTGACTACCAGTAGATATTGCCCATGGTATTGCTTCTCCCGGCTTCCAAGATAAGACAACTCGCTGATACTCCGGCCTTGGATCCAGATCAACAGGCTGCGGCAACTTGACTTTAATTTTAGTTAACTGAGGATGTTGGAAGCCAGCCAACTTGCGCAGCGCTGGGAGGACAAACAAGTTGAATGTAACCATAGCAGAGACAGGATTTCCAGGAAGGGCAAATATCAGTTTCTTCTTGCCATTGATCATGGTTGTTGCAAAGGTTGTTGGCTTGCCTGGCTTCATAAATACTCTTCCAAAGTGGATGGTGGCTCCAAGCAGATCTTCCAGAACAGGTTTCAGGAAATCTTTCTCCCCCATTGACACTCCACCCGATGACACGAGAACATCAGCTTTTTCCAGACCAACAGAAAGTTTGTTTTGAAGGTCTTGAGGGTTGTCAGCTGCTATTCCCAAATCAAGTGCCTCAAATCCATGTGTTCTGATCAGTGACTTCAGAGCAATTTTATTGCTGTCCCTGATTTGTCCTGCTCTGGTGTCCTCACCTGGACTGACCACCTCATTTCCAGTAGAAAGGACAGCAACCTTTGGTTTTTGGAATACTTCAACCTCAGTCAATCCCAAAGAAGCCATGAGACCCAGTTCAGCTGGTCCTAGCTTCTGAAGAGCTGTTAGAACTTGTTGACCGTTACTCACATCAAAACCAATGGGCCTGATGTCCTGCCCAGGCTTAGGAGTTGCAAGAATTTTAATCCTTTTCTCTGTTCTTCCTTCATTGTCACTTTCAAGTAATTCAGTATCTTCAACTTGCACAACTGCATCGGCTCCTGGTGGCAATGGTGCACCTGTGGTAATGCGCATCACATGACCGGAAGTCACACTACAGGCTGTGACCTCCCCTGCAGTGACAGGACCTAGGACCAAACGTTCCCCGGGTCCATCTGACGCCAACACAGCATACCCATCTTTGACTGATGCAGGGAACGGAGGGAATGGCTCTTTGGCAAACACATCTGAAGCCAGTATAAAACCTAGTGATTCTTCTAAGGTTATAACCTTCTGTGGAAGGCATGGAGAATTTGCCATAATCATAGAAAGGGCTTCATCCATTGGAACAAGAGGATATGGAGAATAACGATCTCTCTCTGCAACTCTGCTGAGATCCCTGATTGCTTTGCCATGGGCCTTATGTGGACATGTATGGTGGGTCGAAACTGAAGAATGGGCGGGACCTTGCATGGATGCATGGGTAACGCCCACATTTGGACTATCACGCAACACTTCTATTGCATGCGGCAAAGCAGGTAGAACAAACTGAAAACATTCCTGGGATCCCTTGAGACTTCCTGGCAAGTTGATAATAATTGTCCTGTTCCTTATTCCACAGGTTGCCCTGGACAACATGGCCATTGGTGTGACTTTAAGTGACTCGCTCAACATTCCAAGTGAAAGACCTGGCGCAGTCTTTTCAATGACTTCCAAGGTCACTTCAGGGGTGATATCTCTTGGAGAAAAACCCGTCCCTCCAGTTGTTAACACAAGGTGCAACTCTTCCAAATCGCACCATTTGAGAAGTACTCTTTTGATCTCGTTTCGTTCGTCAGGGACACAATCACACTGAACTTCGCTGACATTTAGTTTAGAGGACTTCACTAGCTTCTGCAAATTTGGCCCACTCTTATCCTCGGCTTCCCCACGAGAGCATCTGTCGCTAACAGTTAAAATTCCGACCTTCACTACAGCGGACATCTTGGATTCATGGAGATGTGAAACGAGTTGTCTTCAGAGATGCACGAATTGTTTTACGAAGTTTACCGAAGAAATCCGATGATTCTCGGTCACCCTAGTACCCAGTCTTAATCTGTTCAACATTCAAGATGGCGAAAGGCAAGAGAGGGAATGGAAGAAGACAGCACGATCGAACGAAGAAAAACGGTAAAAAACCATCAAAAGGTCAAAAGCGGTATCTTAAAGAATATGGAAAAGGGCATCCTGTGGATACAGAGTAGGTTTCTTCGCAGGTGTCTTTTCACATTAGATAACTGGGTTTGTTGACATATTTCGTTTGTGCACGTGTGTTGCGAATCCACAAGCTTTCTTGACCAACTTGTGTTGTTGCCGTCTTTTTTCACTTATCCTTTAGACACGGGAAAAAGGTGAAGAGACCAAGGCAAGAATTCAATAGAGCTCAGGTAATGAAAACACTTAATTACTAGACTTGTGCTGCTTCAAAGTTTAAAACTTATTTCAGACTTTGCTCCACAAGGATCCTAAAAGAAAAAAAAAAATTAAAGTAGCACGGCTTAAAATCCATTTGATATCTTGTAGTTCACGCAATGAGAAGGAATCAGAAGTTGGTACCATACATTTTGATACTCCCCAGGGGGGCCCTCCAGGGGACTCCCAAATGAAAAGGTCAGGAATACTCATCAGAAAATCTGAATTAAACCCCTTAAGGACACCAATTTGGGCATAGTTTGAATGCGTTGAATGCATTGAATGCAGGTATTTTTGAGCGAGTTTTGGAACCATCCCTTTCTCATGGCCGTGGAATAAATGCTTTGGATCAAGTTGAATCGGTGTATCAAGGTTTTGTAAGGATCAGTTGTCCCCTTCTATCCATTAGACTCTAGCAAACTTAACCTGTTTTAACCCAGTGCCAACTCACAGTAAATAACTGCTAGTTGCGTCAAACAATCATAATTTGCAAGTTTTGGCTAACAGTCTTGGTTCTTTTCTTTTTTTCTTAGAATCATGAATCAGAGAGTTCAGATAGTGAACAGGAGATTGCTAATCCATACTTAGAGTTGGTGAACACATTAGGCATCAATTGTAGATTATACACAGACGAGTTAAAAGAGAAATGGAAAGGGAATGAGAGTGAAGGAGATGAAGATGAAGAAGAAATGGAACAAGTTGAAAGTGAGGAAGAAGTTGCAGAAGTTAGAAAGCATGTTAATGGTGACATAGCATCGACAGAACCAGAGGGATTTCAGGTACCCATCTAGAGATTTTATCTTTAAGATCGATAAGGTAACCTGACCTTTGCTAAGTGCCTCAAATCCAAATAACCAAATAAACCCTGGTATGGACTTCACTAGGAGGGTCTTCCCAAAAATATGTACCGGTAGTAGGCGGAGAATAAGAAATTTTGTCTCTGCATGCCCCAACCAAAACAAGGTAAAATGTTTTTTTCAGTTTTTATCAGACAACTATAATAAAGCACTTTTAATTATTATACATGTTATCAGTAGTTTAAAATGAATTTTAGGTCAAAGTGATTTTAAACTAGTTTGATTTGTATGTTCCTTCCTTTGTTCCAGATTTACAACCATGTTCCTTAAACAAAGGAAATGCAAATCAACCTACAAGTAGTTTGAAATCATTTTGACCTGAGATTCATTTTAAGCTACAGGATATACATGAAGAATGAAGCATTGAAGCTGAGCAACTTGCTTGTTCACAAATTTGGACATGATTATTATTGTGATACTGTGATTATTGTTTCATTTTCAAGTTTTCAACCAAATTGTCATTATCTTCAGCTTGCTAAGGCAATGAAATGGTATCAAAAGTAATAAAACTTTACGATCGTTTCTCATGTAAAAACATTCTGGACTCTCAGGACCACTAGATGGTGAGTTTTTTGAACCCTGCACTAGGTCAGAATGTGAAAAAAAAATGGAATTTGTAAATTTAAAGTACTGTAGTATTTTCTTGTTTAACGAGCAAAGAAATTCTTTAATAGTTAGGGGTGTGCCCCGTCTCCAGTTTTTAAAGAGATGTCTCCCTTGTTCTCCGGGCTAGAGAATTATCTGGACGGGAGTAATTAGTGGTCAAATTGTTAACTGTCTGTCTAATCAGGGATAGTGAGGATTGATAACAATAAAGCCATTGCAGTGTTGATCTGTAAAGAAATGTAAGTAGGAATGAGTGAAAATTCTGTCTGGAAAGGGTTGCTTGACAGTAGAAAAGGATACCAAGAGAAATTGGCAAGAGAATAGACGTATAGGGAAATTGCCTGTACCTTACACATGTACAGTTCATGACCTTTTCTCTTTAGTACAGTTTGCATACGACAGTAAAATATAACATCACGTGACTGATTATAATGATTTACACAGAGATGAATCATCAATCAACACATTCTATGTTTAGTATAACTCTTGTCTTGGTTTCACGACAGAATGAAGGAGAAGAACAAAATAGTGATACTGGCTTTGACACAGTTCAAAAACGTTACACCACTAAAGCTGATAGTAATGACAGAAATGATGATAACGATGATGATGAGGACGGGGATGATGACAGTGATAAGGATGACGATTTTGGTGACAGTGATGAGCAAACTGAAAATATTGACGATGATTATAGAAAAGAAAATGTGGTAAATGAAGAAAGTGATGATGATGACGATGATGACGAAAAGGAGGATGATGATAATGGAAGTGACAAGGAACATGGCAAAGGAAAAACTTTAACAGGTGCAGTAGTTGCTTAATTCTTAAATCTCAGGCAGTGCTGAGGACTTGGGTTCTTTGATCTGTTCTTGACAAAGAAAAAGCAGCTAGTGGAAATGAAACATTATTTTGCCCGTGAAATGTGTCAGATAGTGTATATTAATTTTGTTGTTGTCTTCAGGGGAGATGTCTATTATCATGGTTTTAGTCTGTGATTAGAATATCAAGATGTGGTTTATTGATTGCATAGTAAATTATTAAATATATACCTCTCTACAGGATCTAGAGATCCATTTACTGTTCATTTTGAGCAAGACCTCGACGAAAGTGTTGAGAAGTCTCTTGGCAATCTCAGAACATGGCAGCAGAAAACAAGAAAAGTAAGTAACAATAATTATTAGTCTCAATAATACATTGATGTACAACCAAATTCTATGAGCTGGTAATAATAGAAATGTGTTGCAATCAGTAAGGGGAAATGATATCTAATATATAGATTTAGCCAAGCCTAAAAGCGGAGCTCCTATTGCAATAACTGACCATAAAGGAAAAAGAGAATTATTTTTTCTTGGATCAGAAACTCAAAAAATGATCAATTGTGAGCATGTAATTGTTCAGCATGTGGTTTTGTTATTTTTTTCCAGGTAAATTTTAACAAACTATACCCAATAAGCCTAACCAAGATTGTATAAATTACGCACGCAATGTATTAAGCAGTTTCCAAGAAATGATTGTGCAAGGAATATGTCAGAAGAAAAGTCAAGAATGTGCCAGGGGTTACTTTACACCAAAATTTTGCCTTTCCAAGTACTCCCTCCTTCTCCCCCAGAGAAATAACCTGACTTGAGCCCATCATCCAATCGGAAAACCAGTAACTGGTCAGCAGTCAACTTCAAAAAAAATGTAACCTCGATGAGCTCTAAGCCTGAGCCCACGATATGGTCATGTGATACTGGTCAGTGGATAGCTTGTTGTGACAGCTGTCAATTAACAATAGCTTGGATGCCCATAAATTAAAGATGTAGTCATGGTAATGGTGCTACTCTCTTAGTTTCCAAAGTATTAGTGTACGGACATACGGACAGTCATGTGACAACCAAAATTTTTCAGATCAATGGGTTACCACATTTTCTAAGGTGTGGGGCTCCGCTCGTGTGCCACAGATTATGTTATCCATTGGATAAATCACTATCCAGCTTATAAGTGTTAACAAAACAAACCACGCTATCTGCTGGATAGTGTTATCCACCTTTCAAACAACCCAGGCCAGGTTCATTATATTATTAATAGTAAATAGATGAAAAATCATCCATCAAAACTATGGCAGCTGTATCAGGTTTTGCTGAGTAGAACTGTTAGTAGCTTTTTATCTTCACTTATTAATTTCATTTTTTTAACAGTAGCATCTTTCTGACATTTCTACCATGTTTTTATAAACCACAATTTTACCATGATCATTTCTTTCTTTCTTCACGTGGATAACGCTGTCCACCACACAAATTGTTGTGCTGTGGATAAGTGCTAACGCCTTACAGAAAACCGAAGCTATCCAGTATTTAGTGATTTTACCTAGTGGATCTAGCATTATCCACACTTTGAATAACTAGGGCAGAACAGCAACAACACTTTTTATTCTTCATAAACAGATTCCTTCATTTGGTAGCGTAACTGAGATAGTTCCATCTGCTGAGGATTTACCCACTGTAGATATAAACATTGAGAAGGAAGCAACATTTTCTGATTTGAAGGTAATGCTCAGAGTGTTGTCATCTACAAATAGATCAAAAGTATCAGATTGGCTTTGGTCAAATGTTTTGGTGTTATTTTTGTAATACAGTGTCTCTGAAAGGTTAGTATTTTAGTAGTAGATTATTGTAATCATGGGACCGATATTTTTCAAGTGTGGATTCAAAATGTTTTATTTACTTTTTTAATTGTCCAGACACTTCTTGTTCTTTCAACATTTTTTTGCAATCATTATGTTGAAAAACATGCTAAAACCACCCTGCTATTTACAAGAATTCATAAACAACAGGCTAGTAAACAGTAAAGCAAAACATTTTTTAATCTGACGTAATAACGAAGCTGACAAGGGACTTGCTACACCATCTAGTAAAACCTGTTTAAACCAGTACAGTAAATCTTCTTGAAAGTTCTAGTAAGATAGTTCTTGAATGCATAAAAATTGGCAGTCCAAAGTTTCTATGTCAGCATATGAAAAAAAGACTTTCTGTTTCGTCTTTTAAAATAACAGTCTGCATTTTCCAAGAGTGCAATGAATGCATTTTTTTTCCAACACATTACCATCAAAAGTTCTGACTAACAATGATCTGGCTTTCAATTTGTGGCCATCATTTTAAATTTATCTTCTTGCAGGTAGAAGCAAGACTTGCTCAAAAATGGCAGGCCATCAATAAATTACCTGCCTCTGAAGGTGTGTCATTTATATTCCATCTGATTTTAATTTTTCCTTACGATCAGAATTGCTCGTCTAGTAAAAAATTGTAGAGAGAGCGTTTTCAATCACAAGGCCAGCAGCCATGCAAATTTCTTGAAACAAAATAAAGTGTTTAAATACGCAAGAAAAGCTGCTATTTTATTGTTTTGAGACACCAATATGGCTGCTGAGAAGTCAAATTTATAAACAAATAAATAAAATGACAGCTTAATATATGGTTACAATATTATTATACAGAAGTAGAAATCTCTTTTCTGACTTTGACATTTGCAGCAGGAATTTATTTTTGCTCCCCAGGTTTTAAATCATAACTGCTTTGTAAATCTTTCTTATCTATTTAGTTGTTTCTAACATACATTGTGCCACTTTTATATAGTTTGGATATTTATTTGACAGGTGTGTTCACTCCTCTTCAGCGGGATCTCTTTCATAAGATCAACTCATATCAGGTCAGTAAAAACTATTTAAATAGATTTGTTAAGTCACAGATGTTTCCTACTAATTTTGCATATTATGAGAGGGAAGTCGGTGTTATATGATTGCTTAGTTATTTATGCATCAAGTTATTAATCTAAACCAGCCACTAAACATTCAACAAATTGGTTGCTTGGTTAGTCTGTCAGTCCATCAATCCATCGATACAACCATCCATTTGCCTGTCCGTTGGCCCATCAGTCAGTTGGCTGCTTGGTCAGTCCATCTGTTGGTTGGTTTATCAGTTAGTTGGTCTGCAAATCAGTCAGCTGCTTAGTTAGTCCGTCTGTTTTTCCATCTCTCTGTCCATCCATCCCTCTGTGAGCCCTCTGGTTGTTCAGTTCAATCAGTCAGTCAGGCTTATGGAATTGGGTGGGTACAGTGTCAGGGGTTTCATTGTAAAATGTTTTCAGCAGTAGGGCAACTGGTTTCACAGGCAGACAAAACTTTTTGAACTGAACTTCTTTATAGGAAGGACTTTTCTGAGATGGTCAAACCAGGTGGGCAAAATCATCCTCACAGTCAGTCGATTTGCCATGGTGCCCAGCCACTTAATGAAACCCCTAAATGTGCGTAGTTACTGTAATATGCAGAAGGTTTTATCTAGAGTTGCCCCCTGGCACTCATGATGCTGAGTAGTTCATGACTCAATTCTTATCTAATTTCAGGATGTATTTTATTCCAACCGAACGTTCCAAAATGGTGATGAAATAAGAAGGCTTTATTGTCTTCATGCTGTCAATCACATTTTGAAGTAAGACCAAATTAATTTCTGAACATAAGCTATGACATTTTGAAGTAAGACTGACTAATTTCTGAACATAAGCTTAACATAAGATTGTATAATACACGCACATGCAGTTACATGTAACTGCAATTTGTTGGAGTAAACAATAAGGAGCACCAGTCTTACCCTTCTGGTCAGCAGCATTAAGATACAGGCATGTGCAGGATTCTTCTAGCCTGCGAATGCAGACGTATTTCCGGCTGTCGCTTGTCTCTGCCGAAAAATAATGTCTGCGAACCCAAGCCAGGAAAGGATTTCTGTGATGTGGGAATTTTAAGCCAATCACAGTTTAGCTCAAGTAGCCCCAGAACTACTGTGTGAGCTATTCACTGTGAGGAGCGCTCGAGTTTCATTGTATCATGGAATCTGATTGGCCAAAGAGAAACAAAAGTCATTACATCACAGAAATCGTTTCCTGGCTCGGGTTCACAGATGTTATTTTTTGGCAACAGCCGGAAATACGTCTGCGTTTGCAGGCTAGGATTCTTCCTGTTCTTGGACCAAAGGACAATGTAGCATTCAGCTTTTTTTTCGAGCATGGGGTCTTTTTTTAGAGGCTTTTTCAACTCTCCTGTCCCTCCCTGTCTTTCCACTGTTTTATCAGTGCGACAGGTGCCTGTTTTTTCCCTTCTGTATGGGCGTGTATGACTGGTTGCTAGGATTTGCCAGCCATGGGAGTGGTCTCCATCTACAGCAGGAGCTGGCTGCTAATAGTGGAAGCTACTGAATGTCCTAGGCACCCAACCTCCACTCTGCAAGGCAGTTGTTAACAGTTCTGCAATTCATATGATAATAGTAACACTGGAATTTATATTATGGACTATTATACTTTTTTACTAGGAATTGGGAATGAAGATTTTGTTATTTCTTTTGATTATATTATTAAAAAAACCAACCCTTATAAATGTCAAATTAGGGGTGTCAATTTGATCTGGAAACAGTGGAGGAAGAGTCTCTCCAAGGATGTACCACTGCTAAATTCCCATCCCAGTGTTTATTATTATTTCTTATTAATATTGAACTATTTTTTTTTGTCTGGAAGGTATATGTGACTTGTAAAATATCACAAATGTTATACCTGAAGCTTTATATATGATTTCTCTTGGTTCACAATGCAATCAGTTGTTTGTTATTAATTTGTTGCATGATACAACAGGACACGTTCCACAGTGATAAAGAACACAGCTGCAATTGTTCAATCTTGGAAAGACAAGAAAGACATTGGGTAAGTCCAGTGACTTTTTGAAGCATTGTAAGCAGTGGCTTTCATGAAACTGAAATATTTTGTGCAAAGTTTGGTCAGATTTTGTTTTTTCCAGAATTGTTTTCTCAGGCAAGTGGTTAAAGTAATCTCAGGTTTAAGTCCTCCTCTGAGGTCTTCCTCTGGGATCCTCCTCCGGGTCCTCCTCCGGGGTCCTCCTCTCCACAAACTGGTAATGGTCTCAGTATTTCTGAGTTCTGTTACTTAAATTCACTCTTGTAAAATATCCAACTGATGTGCCTGCCCTCTGCATTCTGGGATGTATCACCATTTTATGTTTATTTATTGACAATAATATCATTTAATTATTTAAAGGGGCTTCAAAGAAACCCTGATGTGGAATGTTGCTGATGGCAAGCATCTTTCATTTCTTAGTTTAACATTTATTTTTACATGGAGAACTATCTGTTGTTTGAAACAATACAACTGTAAAACATTCCTACCTCTATGGTTAAATAAATTGCTATGTTCTATTATGTAACAGTATATCCTAGCATACATTTACAAAGGTATTAATTTTCTCTCACAGTGAACAACGTGATCAAGGACTAACAAGGCCAAAGATAGTGATTTTGGTTCCATTCAGAGATGCAGCATTAAAAGTGGTTGAAGTGTTGATGCAATTGATCTGCCCAGGAGAAGAGGTAAGATAACAGAAGGAGGCATGGGCATGTGCTACCTGATGACATCAGGGCCAGGGGTCAGGGGTCAGGGTGTGTTCTACCTGATGAGCACAGGGTCAAGGGTCAGCAATGTTGAATTATACTTCTTTTGTTTTCTTTTTAAATAGTCTCTCATTGCTCTTGCATTTTGGTGATAGCTGTTGTTGAAGGAAAATGAAGATGTCACACTCAGTTTAAAATTTGAATGTACTATTCACTTGAATGGGTCACACTCTGCCTCCAGTGGCCAATACAACCAGAGCTTATCATTGTTTCTGTAGCATGAAGCAATTAGGATATTTCTACTCTCTCCCTGGATGGGATTTTAGTCCATCCTAGAGTTACCCCTCAGCATTCTATTCACTGGTACCCATTTATGCTCGTGCCCAAGAAAACACACACAAAGATCCTGGCCAAGGTTTCGAACCTGAGCTGCTCAAGCTGGAGTCCAGGTTGCCAACCATTAGGCCATTATGCCTTCCCTGTGACTATTAGGGGTTACATTATGTTTTTTTGCATGGCGCGTAGAGAAATCTATTGTATTCCCTATGTTGTTTGAACCATAATAATATATAATAATAATAAAGTTTTTTGGGCGCATTTAGAAAACTTGATGCACTTACATTACTATATAAGAAAAAAAATAAATTAGTTGACACCTACACAATGTTTCTTATAACAGTAATACATAAAATAAATGAAATAGTTAATTTAAAAATTAGGTGACATGAAAGCTAGGTACAGTTCCTCATATAATAAATCAAAAATAAAATTTCCGAAACAAGAATGTCTTGAGGGCAGATTTAAAAGATGAAAGAGATGCTGTATTTTTAATAGAATCCGGTAGTAAGATTGTTCCATAATATAGGTGCGGAGAAAGAAAAGGCATGTTCACCATATGTCACAGAGTTCACAGTAGGGACAGTAAAAAGAAGTTTAGAGGATGAGCGTAGGTTTCGTTGCAGGTAGTATTGTTGTAGGAGGGATGACAAGTAGGTTGGGCAAAGTCCGTGGATAATCCATAAGGTCTTGACTTGTCAAAGCTAGACAACCTTTGTGACTGAGTTACCTTTAAATATCAGTAGCCCTTGTTGACCCACCAGTGGCATGAGGAAACCAACATATGAGAAACACAATTTTGAAAAAAGTCTGCGCCAGGTCTAGTGTCGACCCCCAGTAATGCATGGTAAAACCCTTCTCTTATCATTTGCAGGGCCAAGTTATGAACAAGAAACGCTTCTATGATGAGTTCACTGAAAATGATGATGGTGACAGTTCTAAAGACTTTGGGTCTGAGGACTTTAAACAGATGTTTGCAGGAAACATTGATGATTGTTTCAGGCTGGGAATTTCTGTCATGAGAAAATCCATGAAACTTTATGCAAAGTTTAACTCTTCAGACATCATTATTGCTTCACCCCTTGGTTTGAGGACAATCATAGGAAATCAGGGGTAATAATTTTTAAATATTTATTTGTGTTGCAACACCTCTCCAGCTTTGTATGCAGTCACAACTAATTATTGTGAAGAAAAAAATTGTACAAATGATTTTGCAGTTCAATATAAAAGTAGACAAGTCTCTTTGATTTTCTGTTCTTTGAACGAGTATTTTCCGTGGTCTCTTTTCATCTCTCAAATGGTGAAACTACTACAGCCTTAAATCCAGTAAGAGCAAATTTTAACCAGAGCCATGTATAAGTAAACATAGGTCAACACACGGTCTATTTTTTATTCAATGCCTCTGAAGAGGCAACAAGAAAATAGTGCGATCTATAAAAAAAGCCAAAAAACAAATGGTGAACCCCTGTACTACTCATGGCTGTTCTGGTCACTGACCTGTGCTTGTAAATAATAATTAGGTTTTTGGACAAAATGCTGACTGCTCATGTCATGGCATAATTTAATGTACATTAAATAGCTTACTTGGTGTAATGATATCTCCAAATACTCGGAACTAACAATGAGAAAATTTGTAAGGCAATTAGTAAGGTGACCTGATATTTTGACTTTAGTGCTGACAAGTGGATGGTCAGTATATGAAGGTAGATTTAACGTAATCAGATTGTCAGTATTAAGCACTGGCTGTGATTTCTTTATAGAGAGAAGTCCTATGAGTATGATTTTCTTTCGTCAATTGAAGTTGTCATTATGGACCAAACAGATGTCTTCCTGATGCAAAACTGGGAACATGTTCTGGTAACCTCAATATGAGAAGAATAAGTTATTTAGTTATCATTATAATATAGATGGTACCCTGCGTGCACTCTGATTGGTCAAAAACCCATGTTTTATCAGAGTATAAAGCATAGAAAAAGCGTGTTTTATTGTTTTTCGCCACATTACCTCCATATCATAAAGCAAATGAAGACGCCTAAGCCATGTATTACACTGTGATCAAAGACTCCGGACATTTGAGAACACTCAAGAAATGTAGAAAATACTCGCCTGCAGCTCAGGTTTTCTACATTTTCCTCATGTTCTCAAATGCCTGTCGTGTTTTATCACAGTGTAATACGCGGCTTAGGCTTCTTTATTTGTTAAATGAGGTTATTTTTGTACTCTCACTCCCCCTCAATAGAATGGGAGCTCTTCACAGCTTCTTTTCAGGCTGGCCTGTTTTTGTGAACTAAGTTGTTGCTCTGACTTATTGCAGCACATTTTCGATCACCTTCATAAGCAACCTAAAGATTCTCATGATGTGGACTTTTCTCGTGTCAGAATGTGGTGCCTGAATGGATGGTGAGTGTGTTGTGACATTTCGACCATTACAATGTTTAAAATCGTAAGTATGCTTGGATTTTGTAGAAAATAGTTGATTTCCTTTAAAGGCATTACAGCATAGACTTGGTTTACTGGGTGGGTTGTTCAAAGAAAGAATAACAGGTACCGTAGATAACCCACTATCCTGTCCATAGCAAAGTACCAGTCGAAACTTGAGTGCCGACTAAGTGCCAGGGTATCCTGGTGCCAAAGAGTGGTAGTCCTGCACTAACAAGACACTTGCTTTGGACCATACCTGCAAGTTCAAGCTCTCAAAATGTTGTCGTACATGTAGCCAAATTTGCAATTAGCCAATCAGAAGCTGTGTGTACTGTCCTGATATCCTGCGATATCAAGTCTTTGATATGGTTATGATTTTATGGTCACTTGCTCAACTTTGAGGATTGTAAAAACCCAGCAATTGTTCCTCTTATGGTATGTTTAGGAAGTATACCAGGATGGTTTGGTCCTGCCATGGGTATTTTGGGTGGACCAAACTTTCCTGGTATGCTGCCGAAGTGTATCAAAAAGGTATGATTAGCTGTAAATTTTTGGTCATATACAAGTTTTCTTTAATTGTTCTTTTTTTGGTTGCAGGTCTAAATATTACAGGCAGACTCTAATATTCAGTAGTTTTGTATCACCTGAAATGAATTCACTCTTTAACAGGCACTGTTACAATATCCTTTTACAATTTATTTAATTGTTTGTTTGTTTAATTACTTAATTGAAATCTGCAATCAAACATCTAAGGCACGATCAAAACTAAGGTCCAGGTTCAGATGATATGTATAGAGAAGAGAGCATCACATGGGATTTGTCTGATGACGGAAGATTCAATCTACTCTTTAAAGTTAGTAGGATTTAAAAGAGAATACTTACATAGGCCGAATTTAAACTGGGGACAAATTATCCATCTGAAACGAAGAAGCAATCTGACATGGTAATTCATCTGCCTGAGATGGATAAATCATCTAGGTATAAATTCTGTGTTTAGAAGACTTGCTCACAGATGAATCAGTCAAAGATCGATTTGGCTGGATAATTCTCCTTAGCACTGGATTTATACCAAAATCGTCCTCTAATATAATTCGGCATCGGATAATTTGTCTTTAGTATAAATTCAGCCATTTAGTATGGTTCTTTTCTTTTCAATTCATAGTATTTGTGGTTGTTCCTGTTAAGTTCCTTGACTATTACCATATTTTGCTGGAAAAGTGAAAATTTCTTTGTCAGACATACCAGGTTCGATTTGCCAAGTAGCAGTGCAGGTTCCTCAGGTAAGGACTCAATTTGAAAGTCCTGCATTCGGCTTTTGATTGATCATTCTTTAAGACTTGTATTGTAGCAAAGTCATTGACTTGCATAGTATGTCATGTTCAAAACTTGAATTGTTACCTGCAGCTGCAGGTTGAAATCCATTAATTTTACAGCTTGCTTGTGCTTTGCTTGTAACATCAGAGTTTCTTGTTTCATGCACATATTAATGCAGTAAAAACACCCTGTCACCAATGGGAGGATTTCTTGAGATTGACTTCCTTGTGACATTTTTTATGTTGCCTAATTTGTTATATCTGGTTTCTCTAATAGGCTTTCCATCGTTTTGACTGCTCCAATTTTTCTGAAGCAGCTGACAAAAGATTCCATACCTTCATTAATGAGGTACCTTTGTAAGACTTTCCTTAGTTGTGACAGTTTCATTTTGCACTGAAAAGATCAATTTTCCTATTCTTGGTGTCTTGAATGTTTTCTTAGTGTCCGTATCTTTGGAACGTACCATGATTTGTAGCATGCAGCGTAGACATATTGCTACTAGCTCAGGATGGGGATGCATGTCCTTTTCAAGCCTCTCCCACTGGGGCGGATGCAGGATTTTAGAGAAGGAGGTATAAGATATTGAATGCCAAAGGCATCCTCCTCCAGAGTATTTTTAAAATTGAGGTCCTCGTAACTGAGTTTTCGTCACTCTGAGGCCGTCAGCATGTTATAATGTCTCTTTTTTTTAATTTAGGGGGTTTGACCAAGCCCCCCCCCCAAACCCCCACTAGATTCCCCCCAGTCCGAGCAGTTTTTCAGGTTGTCAAAGCCATTGTAATATTTTTAAAAGAGCACATTGCATTAATTAAAACCACCCCACTGATGCTACAGCTAGCCAAACAACTTGTTAATTCAGACTGCAACACGTAAACCATTAAAATAGACCACATTTCTTTTCGAGACAAATACTTTACATTTGTCTACAGGACTTGATGTAGATTTGCAAACCATTCTGTCCCAATATCTCTTGCAGATTTTACCAGAGTTCAAAGGTTCTCTAATGGGTTACACAGCCATTTTTGTCCCATCTTACTTTGACTTTGTGCGGCTGAGAAATTACTTCAAACGGGAGGCCATAGAGTGTGCGCAGATTTCAGAGTGAGTACTGTTTGTGCGTCATCTACACATGGTAAATATGGATTGAAAGACGTTGCAAACATCTGGATCAAGTAAAGGCTAATTCAGTGTTGTGTAATCACAGCACAAGCCATGCAACATAAGGTTCTCCAATTGATCAAGAGAAATTTGCTGCAGAACTCTTTTAAGTTGTGTATTCACCTTTTTATTTGCCATAAATTTACGAAATAACTTATTTTCAATAATTTTGCAATGCTCTTTTACAGGTACTCGCAACAGAAGGAGATACAGAGGGCTCGTACATATTTCCAGCAAGGACAACGACCGTTTCTTTTGTTTACAGAAAGATTTTACTTTTTCTTTAGGTAAATGATTGTTATGACTGTCAGACCTGTATACAGAGATTTAACAGCAAGAAAAATGATGTCTCTATGAGAGAGGCAGCCAAAATCCAGTTCTTTAGGTCACTGACATGATTTACATTAAGGTCTCTGTTGGTTAATCATACGCTTAGGCTGAAATGTTCAACTTAGAGTCTGGAAGTTCACTCCATTATTGATTAGATCTCCATACATGAACATAGCAATGACCTTATAGGTCCTCAATGCGTGCGAACAACTACAGCTTCTTAGTTCACTCTGTCTGCATTGTGATTTCTGCACGTATTGCGTGCCTATAATCCTGGGAAAGAACATTTTCTTATTGTCCGCGATAGAGTTAGTGTTTATTTGAATTGGGAGACGACCTCACTGATTACCAGTGATCTCAAATGGGGTTTATTCTTTCATTGAGTTGTCTGTTATTCCTATCACCCATCTGCTTGTGAGCCTTGTTCTCAAGGATAGAAGAGAGACCTTGGTAAGCGAGGTTTCACTTTTGTGAACGTAAGCATTATTCTTAAATCCTCTCTTTTAGGTATCGAATCCGAGGGATTAAGAACATCATATTCTATGAACTCCCACATTACTCCACCTTCTACACTGAGATTCTGAACTATATGGACACAAGAAAGAGTCGTTCAGACTCGCAAATCAATCCAGTGACTTGCACTGTCTTGTACACAAAGTCTAATGCGCTATGTTTAGCCAGAGTGGTGGGCACACAGCGCTGCCGTCACATGATATCTTCCGATAAGCAGGTGTACATGCTAGTTACTGGTGGCGACGAGGACACGTGAATGGTTATGGTATTCTTGTACACGCACTGTGTAAAGAATATACCTTGCAGTCTAGCGAAGCCCTGAATACAGTAGCTGTCAGCTTTGGGTATTGAAATGGCAGTAGTTGCTCTTGCCAAGCCCAAGCCCAAAGCCAAAGCCAAGAGGCCATGTGCTGAAATCATTCCCTGCTGAGCAGACCGCCGAGACTCAATATTGATGGCATGATTCTACAGAGATCCACGTCTCCCTTGGGTTGTTTCTTATGTGTGAACAATCAAGCTCAAACCAACAATTAAGCCACAGTACACTGATCTCGTTAGGCTTATATAGTCCTGGATATCATTATATCTGATCTCAGAGATTTGGACGACAACCACTGGTATTGGTCGTTTGGTGGCAGTTATGAACGTCGCAAAGAATTGCACCCTAACTAGTATATTCAAACAGAATGAAACTGTCAGTTTGTTTTGTGCAGTTGATGCAGGCATCGAGGTTAACATTTCTTAAATTTTATCATGAGCTGTTGTTACTAGTAACAAAATTTAGTAAACGCACATGGTGTTCTCTACTTGTCTTCTTTATGGTGTTCTCTACTTCTCTTCATTACGTGTAATGTTCTATAAAATTTCTCTTTCTTTGATATCAAAGTGCAAATAAACTAAACCGCAGTAAGGAGAGTCAGAATGTTTTCTGCGCTGCTCGAAGTCAGAAGCAAAGCAAGCATTTGGAAGCCACAAATGTCGAACGCGGAACCCCCAACCTGAAACTGCCTCTTGTTGTTTGCCGTTAACGCGAAAACCCCGAGGCTAAATGTCTCTAATGTCATCCCAGGGGGCACTCCCTTAAATTTTGGTTAGGTGTGTGCCGCGAAAGGTCTTAAACCCTGGTCCTGTTTAAGGATGAAGAAAACGCAAATCGATGCCCTATTTAAGGCATTGAAACCCGAAAAATGGCACCCTGTTCAAGGGAATAACAAAAACTAAGAATGGCGTGAACGGGTCAACTTAATTTCGTTTCTAAACATGCATTGCGGGTTAAGTATCAAGCATAGAATTTGTTTTTTGTTTAGCTAGGCATTGACGCACTGGAATTTTAGATGATACAATTTAGGTACCCTATCTAAGAATCACACCTACTGTATTTAAGGATCGGGAACCTCAAAAACCATACCCTATCTCCGCTGCACATACCTATATGGTCAATATATGGGAGTACGCCCCCCCCCCCGGAACGTCATACACCGATTCTATGGTTCATGCAGCTGAAGCTGTGATCATGAAAGCCCCCCCCCCCCCCAGGGTATACGTAATAATTAATTTCAAGGGAACAAGGGATGTTTTTGGATCATTTTGTGGGGAGCAATGGAATTTACTAATGGGGAACAGAGGAGAAAATGGTGAAGGGATTAACCCACGGCTTTTTTCTTTAACATTTTGCACATTTTCAGCTTGTATACGAGCCAAATTGGCTGCAAGCTGCTCAAAAAGGCATTTGCAACATGATGTCATGCCTTCCTTTCCACTAGAATCGCGCACTCTCGTACCCAACGTCTTCGTTCCCTTTGACCAGCAATTGCTCGTTTTGTCAAGCCAGCATGCGCAGTATGGAACGAAGACTCGAGGTACGAGATTGGGTACGAGATTGTATCATCGCGTTTTACAACATTTTTGCTCAGGCATGCGCAGAAATCAAAATTTCGACGAGAAAGTGACCTACTGTATGCCATTAGACTTTTCGTTTTTTTAAAATTTTTTTGCTCACCTTTCCTTTTCGTCCTTTTCTTACCTTTTTGCTGTAGTGATTGACCTACTCGGCTTGCTTTCGGTTCAAAAGTTCCCGAGAAAGCATTATCGAGACGGGCAATGCTTACCATGGAGTAGCCAAGTCACTCAAGTGTAGTCGAAAGAAATTTTGCTCCGAGCTTTTCACTCAAATTTCTGAGCATTTTTGTGCATATTTTAGGCTCCATTGACCCGATCACTCTGATCTGGGTATCATTGGAATTATTTTTTCCTGCTGCAGAATGCCAATTTTGGTCAAAGTTGACGTCAGAAGTGGAACAAAGGCATGGCCGACGCTGGCAACCTCATTCCCAGGCTCTCTCTCCTCTGTCTCCCTTGTTCGTTGGGAGAAGGCAGAGGACAGAGAGCCTGGCAATGAGGTTGCAACGCTCCATTCTCGTCCCCATGGCCCTTTTCGCTTCTCTTAACCGGCAGGGCCTTGACACGAGAATCGCGTGCCAAGGTCCTGCCGGCTAAGAGGAGGAAAAGGAGTATGGGGACGGGAATGGCAACGCTTGCGACGGTCAGCATGGGTGTCAATATAGGAGCCGACAATGATTCAGAGAAATCCTAGTTCAAGAATTAGCCAGCCAATCAAATCATGAGTCTCCAGAGCGATCATTTACTCCGGATAAGGCCCCACCGGCTAAGAGGGACAGACGGCTCTGGGACGAGAATGAGACGTCAAGAACGAAATGCAAAAATTCTTCGCAAATTAAATGTTTCGAATACCTTTGAAAGAAAATCTAATAGAGCGAACAGTGGTAAATCAAATCACAAACCGATTAACTAGTGGATAGCAAATATTAAATTCTTTCTATATATGCGGTTTATAAAGCTTTATTTTTCTGTGACTTTTGGCTTCGGAAATTGCGCGGGCTCTAGGGACGAGTTTTGGCGGGAAAGACGGCGAGAATGAGCGGGAATATATTACGCGCGCGCAATGTGTTTTTCCACTGGAATTTTACTGAACTGTCAGTTATCAAATAAAAGCAGTTATGACCGGTTAAGTGGGATCAGAGCGTGTCTTTAATGGTACAACTGTGGTCCACGCTTTTCTTCTTCTACAAAATGTCGTCTGCTATTTTGTTTACCAAGATATTAGTGTTGCTGATGAATGTTATGGCAGTGGAGGACTTGCAAAAACAAGGATTACATTGCAACTGGGTTTGTGATGTCAAGAAGGAAGATGTAGGACGTCGCGAACAAATTGGTGTGAATTTCAAGTTCAGAAAACGAGTGCACGCAAACTGTACAGACGACGCAACTGTTAACTCGTGGGACTTTATCAGAGTTGGAATTATCGTAGCACCTGACGTTGACAATCCAAGTGAGTTCAGTTTCTCAGATTTCTTGACATTAGGCATCGAACATGTCTCGCCACGTCAGTTTTTATTTGGAAACGAAAACACGGACCTTGAATCCATCAACAGGAATGTTTCTTGTCTCCTACAACCCAGGTCAAACGAAACTGGGAGAGTTAACGGGCTAGATGCGCTCTACTCGCCCTTGTTTTACTTTAGGAACTTTGTCAGGAACTCCCAAAAGATACCTTATCTGGGCTATGTTGAGATAGGCGGGAGATTCAATCTTACTGCTGGTTTTAACAGTTCAACGTCGCCTGAATACCGCCTGAAATTCGTTCAGTCCGACTTGACTCGTGTCAGAATTTTGAGTGTGTTGTTCTTGGTATTGTTTTTATTACGCAGCCCATCCCTCTTAACGCTGTTTTGTTCAACCGTCAAAACAGTACAGATTGAACGTCTCTCGCGTGCCACCAACGTTGAAGAATCGGAGGAAGATCTTTGCTCGGAAGCAACTCGTAGGGCTACCGAACAGGAAGAATCGATAATTGAGTTAGTTACTTTACCAGCTGCAGCAAACCGAGATGCTGGGAAGGAAATTCTTTCATCTCGTGTTGCCACAGAGCATGGAGAATTAAACGACAGTTTCTACCCTGGGACTAATGATGATTTAGAGCTTGGCAGTTCCACAGCTGCATCAGAGCACGATGCTCTTCGGATCAGCACGCGTCTCCCCAACCAGGAAAACAACAGCAGCGATGAACATTCCAAGATGGTGGGCCTTCCCCGACCTACAGCGGGAGAAAAAAATCCCCCAGCATCTGTGCCAGAGTTCTCTCCGACTTATTCTGTTGGTACCAGTGATCATAGAGCCAATGGGAGTAGTTCTGCCATGGAAGAAATTGAGCGACTCGGAAACAAGCCGCAAACTGGTGTCCAGCACCAGAACATTGAAAATAGGAAATTAGATAGTGTTCAAGTGATGGATGTTGAAGCACCAGCCAGCCCAGTAGGCTTAAGAAGTTTCATTGCCAATAAGGTGTTCTCCAACAGCAAAAGTTTAAGCTTGCCTTATAAGTTTGTGAAATTTTTTATTTTGATAATGTTTCCACCATTTATCCCTATCTTGATTGATGTTTTTGTGCTTGCAATACCAAGACTATTTCCCAGAATTGCATCCAGCCTTCCCTCACCATTCCTGATTAAATCTGTGGTTATCTTCACGTATGAGGTATGCCCAGGCTTCATGTATTTTTGCCTTCTGTGTAATATCATCAGAATAGGTTGTTTCTGTTTTCTATGGTCTGCATCAAACTGGGTGCCAAGTTTTTTATGTAGGAAACATCTTGTGTGCTTTATGCGTAACCATTACTTGAGCCAACTTATTTATCCCAGTAATTCTTGGTCTGCCTGTGATGAATGCAAGGAGGCACCAGATCTTCCCAAGCATTGCGAGATTCCAGTTAACATCAAATGCAATGATGGCTGCAGTCTACTAGGAATTGTCGAGAAAGACTGGAAAGATGTGTCTCAGAATTTTTATCCAAAGTATATACGTGGACTTTTTTTGGGAAGTGAGGATGAAAGTTCTTGCCCAGTGTTAAGGAAATTAGTTTGTTTAATCCTTGGTGGCCTAATATTCATTCTTTTAGTTTTCCTGGATATTGTAGCTTCTCTTCCTATTATTTCACTGTGTTATGGAAGAGTGTGGTTCACAAAGAACTGTTCTCAAAATCGATATTGTCAGGCAGTTTGTCTTATAGGTGAGTTTTTTGGCACCTGCTTTTCTGTTATCTGGATTGCGTATTTTTTGTTCTGCAGTTTCTTATCAATGGTGTTAGCTGTGTCAAGTTTTTACATTGCTGCAGTAAACTATCCCCTGGAAATTGGTTTTTATTTGGCCATTAATATCATGGTTTGGCACATCATCTGGAGGTGTTACAGTTCCTTTACTGACATCTATGAAGATGTTCTTAAAAAGCTGTTCAATGCATGCAGCGAAGATCATAAAAGTGAGTTTAACCAGTACAAAGAAGGGAATATACAATATATTCCACATAAACTTTTCACTTCTGCGTGTGATAAGATAAGACCTGTAGGAAACAGCGTGAAAAAGCTGTTTTTTCACTTAAATGTTTGGCTAGTTGGTCTTTTCTTTTTATTATCTTTTACAATGGGAAGTAGTGCAGATATACCCATCAGTAAGGTTCTTGGAGGCACTGTCACATTTTTAGTGGTAGTCCACCCATCACTGTGGGATTTCCTTCTAACCAGAGGTAAAAAGGAGGAACGTAAAGATGCAGTGTTGAAGGAGAAAGTTAAAGGTCATGTAGATGCCTTTTTCAAGGGTAAACTAGATTAAGAAATGCAAAGGACTTTAATGTTTGGATCGAGTTGAAGACACACTTAATTAAAGAACTGAGTGTCAAAAGTAAGACCTTATTTTTAAACAAATAAAGCTTGGGTGCTTGTATCCATACTGCATTTTCATATGAGCTGGACTACAATTCTCCCAATTTTCATGATTTTTTAAAGGGTGGAGATGTAATCTCCATTGATTTCTCAACTTAACATAAGCATCCTACAGTTCTGTTACCTGTTATTGCTTAAATAGATTAACAAAAAGGTGATTGAGCAAACAAGTACAAATTTTGTACACTTGAGACACTTGAATGCGGTCTTGTGCAAACTTGGAAATCTTTTGTCTGACCGCACCCACCCCCCTTAAAAAATAGAAATCACATATAAATCATGTGCATATATCTTACCTAGCAGTATCAAAGTCTCCTTAAAAGATCATGTTGAGTTTGTAAAATCTGAATACTTGTTTACAAACTATCAATAGTTGTGTAAATTGTTATTGTGAATCCTAATGGTGGGGCTCTTTGAGTGTCGATGTTTTAAGATAAAGAGATAACCTTATTGGTGAATAATAAAAGAGTGTTTTGTTTTTGCTGATTGTATATTTTTTGCAAGGGTTGCAGAGTTCACAATTTTAGCTAGTTAGCTTCTTTTATAAAGTGCTTTGCTTGTTTTATTTGAGGTTATTGCAAACAAGTTAGTTGACACTTGACTGATATTTGATCAACATCTCGGTTGAGAGTTGACTAATTTTTGTGGACATGCCATGAAGTGTTGATCGATAAATGAGTCGGTGAACACTCCATCAACTATCAACGGACAGTTGATTGAATGTCGATTGAGTACCAATTGGATGCTAATCGAGGGTATGTTTGACCTTTGAGGGGGGTGGGTGATTTGGTACAGGCATGAATTTTTGTATTCTTTCATTCACTAGCAATTTTTTTCTTGGGACATGTGTATACCCGACACTTTTTTCTCCATGTTAAATGCTTTTTTGGGTTCAGTGAGCAAGCATAATTTTTTTTTTGGCAGTGGTTGTGTACAAGAATTTTTTTGGTACAAGTATGCTTGAAGGATAATCATTTTTCAAAATCACCAATCCACCTCAAACATCAAATGGTCCACCCTTTTCTTTAAGCAGTCAACTTCTCGGTGTGCAGCAAAATAATTTTCTACCCTCATCACATTTGACATTCTATTAAACTCAATTTGACTAAATTAACAAGAAATAAAATGCAAACAGCAGCAACAAACATACATGAACTATGCATGGTTTGGAACAACAATCTAAAATTTTCTTGACGTTTCGCATGCTACAGCACGCATCTTCAGAAGTGGTGGTTACAAAAAAAACGAAACATTTAAAACTTAAAAATACAAAGTGACTAAATTAGTTAAAGAGGCAACACATAGCATTAATAAATTAATAGAGTAAGGACAGAACTTTTTTTTTAAAAGGATTCCGTATTTATGGAACAATTTGCCTGATGAATTGAGGACTGCCAACTCATGTTTCTTTTAGGAGAATATGTACTATTTTTTATAAAGATAAGGTTTTCGACCCTGAGTGCCCCTATACCACCTGGGCTAACAGCAGTTAGTGAGTAAGGATGATACTTAGCCAGTTAGTTAGATTGCTATTTAGCTAGCTGGTTAGGTAGTTAGTAGATAGTTAATAAATTGCTTGTTAAATGATTAAGCTTTTATATATTCATACTGTAACATTTATTTTCATAATGGGTTGACTATCACATATTGTTCGTCAGTTCCCTTCTAGTCTTCCTCACTGCCTTGCTATGTACTAAGATTTTTATTAATGTGTTTATTACAATTATTATTATTTTGTAATATCGTTTATATTTTTTTTCTTTGTTATATAATCCCAGTGAAAATTGAATAAATTAAATTTATTAGTTGTCTTCTAACAAACATTTTGTCTGCCTCCTATGAGAACTCCAATTCCATTACAGCTCACATTGACACTAATAATTACCATGCTTCAATCATATTACTTGGCCAACTTTTCACTAGCCTTTCAAGCAAAGGTAATATATTGAGTTTGACCACATTTCCAAACATCAAGAAGAAAATTGAAAATATCATGTTTAGCAGAGTATTTTTGACAAACTTTAAGGTGTCTGGAAATGTAGTGAAACACTGTCTTGCCCGTTTTTTGTCATAAAATTGTAGCCCATCAGCTAACAACATTTTGTGATTGAACGCTACATGTAGTATTATACTAAAACTTATAGAAACATGGAGAACATGTTTTCTATTTCTTTTACAAAATTCAGTGACAAAAAAAGAAAACAACTTGTTTACCCTGATCATCAAGATGTAAATCCTGTTTTCTTGCGCCATCTTTACGTCAACCGCTCATGCTAGTTCTGTTTCCACCGAGTTATAGAAACAGGTTTTAAACCACTGAGTGCACGTATCTCTTTCGGCTATTTTCTAAAACAGGATAAGTATGGATGAGAAGCGCCAGTACAAGTAATGCATAGTTGACTAGTAATAATAATGATTTATTTCTAGTGCATTACATAAAAAATCTCAATGCTCTTAGAAAAATAGTAATAATTTAGGATCAAGGGTCCTTTACAATAATTAATTGCAATGTAAAAACTAAACGAAGAACAAGATTGGCCTGCTTAAAGATTAAACTAGTAGTAATCAGAGATTATGAGAGTGCGCTCGACGCTCTCACTTTAATATATGATTATATATCGTAAATAAATGATTTCACTAGCTCACTTTCAACCTTTGTCTACTGCTAAAATCAACATTTTTCAGCAGCAACCGAGGTTTTACAGTCAGATATGCATAGTGTCAAAGTCCATGCTAGTGAAGA